AATTATTTTGAAGAGGTGAAAAAACGAAAAGATTTGAAGTGACCCTTGATGGTATGGATGAGGCACCGAATTGTAGATGGTAAGGTAAGGGTTAACATTATTATACGTTAAGATTTCGTGTAACAGTATACTCACGTACGAAGAAAAGATTAATGAAAAAATTCACCGAGCTGAACGTCAACAAAATCCTCCGAGCAAAAGATGACGTGAAAGGTTCATCGATCGCGAAGTCAAAACAAGTCACAGTCTAAACTAAACTATCGACTGCTAAGCTAACTGAGAACGTATTTAAGACGTATTACGTACCTTGCGTAGCACAATAGAGTATAGAAGGTAATCTCTCTTTCACTCTAGTGTCTAAAATTCGTTGAAATCACCGTGCTTCTTTTGACATACGGTACGCCGACTTAGTTAGGTTATCTCCTGCAATCTCCTGTCGCTTGTAAAAATCAAGAACCTTACATAACCTCATGCAATCAGAAACTTTTTCAATAACGCAAGGATTTCTCCAGATTTCTCGGCTTTCGCGACTTTACGACGCCGTCGTCGTTGATATCGTGTTCAATCGTGTCTCAAATCGACAAGATAAACGCGAAACATCACTAATATTTAAAAGCTGTTTCCTGTCAAATTAATCTGCAATTAATCTGCGTTTCTCGAGTGTAGGTACGCCGGAAAGTCAACAGAGTGCTAGATATGCTAGTTCGACGAAATCTTTTCGCTCTTTTTTGCGTAAATATCAAAAAAAAATTACGATTTCTTAAATTTCCGAAACACAAGAAGCGAAATACAAGATGTGCGAATTAAGAAGAAATTGAACAATAGTTATAATAATTATATTTTATATATTATATAGTTATAATAATTATATTAATTATAATTATAATTGTAACTTTTTATATGGAGAAATAATATATATGTATATGTATGTAATATATAATATTGATACTGCAGTATTTAGATGTAGACTCATTATAGATAATGAATTTACAAGATTATAATCATTGTATTAGCAATTACATTTACAAGGTGTCCCAGATGAATAACCGCGCCAAATATTTTATGCGCAAGTAGAGTGGACTAATAACCCCACACAGCAATGGAGATCTATGGGATTTATTAAAATCATCGTGGATATACGAAATATATCTCAATATCTTTAAGATGTCATCAGTATATTATAATGACTATATCATGAATACACTTCCTGTATAAGATATTCAGGAGATATCTTACCCCGAATAAAGTAAATGTGTACAATATATCTCAGAGACATTCTGAAGACATCTAACAGATAAGATATTCCAGTCGTTTCTAAGATATGTCTCTTTATATATAAAACTTATAGAATAGTATGTAATTGTAATGTACATACATATATAAGGGCATAATTAAGGAAATTATCTCTTCAGGTGGTATTCATCTTAGAACATATACTACTGGAAGGAGCATAGGCTTGAAAAGTTGAAGCCGAGAAGATTAACAAGGATGGAGATAGAATGCAGAGAAGATTGACAAGGATGGAGATAGAATGCGTGATCCTAGATTGTAATGCGCATGCTTGTCGCCTTTTCTCTTCACCCCGCAGCCCCCGTGCGAATGGTCTGAGCACATTGTTGACTAGGCACATTCTATCTCCTTGTCAATCTTCTCGGCTTCAACCGAAAGAGTGGGATTATGGGCCTATGCTCCTTCCAGTAGTATATGTTCTAAGGTATTCATTCTTTATAATATACCTACGATAACATTTCAGATTTTACTATAAGCAACAATAATCACGGATATTTCAGGAATAACGTAAGAATATATTTCGCTTAAACATGAGATATCTTAGTCCTTCTTTGATGCGGACATTAGTATATCCTATTGATATTTGCCATATATCCAGATGTCTACTAAATATCTTTGCGATATTGTGATATTCCAGCACGATATCTTGACGAGATTCCACAGATTTCTTTTGCTGTGTGGGGTACTGAATCGAAAAGTCCTGCACCATTTTGCAATTTTTGTAATAGTTAACAAGATATTAATTACGAAAAATTGCTGATATTCATTTTCAATAATTTTTTACTCAAGTACTATCAACTTTACAGAAAAACAGCAAGAGACAAAAATTGTTTATTTTCTTCTCATAAAATTCTGAGAATTTTTTTCAGAATTTTTTATTACAGTATTTTTTCATGTTGATAAAGATAAGTTATCAATAAAAAAATGTAGTACTAAAAAGTCAATTAAAAATTCTGAAAAAATTCTTAGAGCTCTATATATAAGAAAAAAATAAACAATTTTTATCTCTTGCTGTTTTTCCATAAAATTGATAATACTCGAAATGTATTGAATATTGACTTCGTTGATTTTCAAACCGTCTTCCGCGCTTACTCCTACAGTCATTATTTCGTTATTTATTGTATTGTTTATTGGAGTCCTTTATTTATTTTATTTGATAGTACTCGAATAAAAAATTATTAAAAATGAATATTCAACGATTTTTAGTTATTAATATATTTTAACTATATATATTGTGAAAATTACAAAACGGTGTAAAGGACTTTTCGACTCAGTTTAATCCAGTCTCTACCTACGCATGAAATATTTAGCGATCATTCTGGGACCTGTATAATCTCTTTTTTCTGTCATTTCAAAATTTTATATTGAATACCTATAATCTGTAATTAATTTCTCAAGGTGCGAAAATGGCATCAATCCAACTAACAACGCTAAACTTACCATGCACTCCTTGGTGAAATATTAACAAATTAGTGTTAATTTAAGACTATTAGAACTTGCGATAATGGTAGAAAAATTTAAGACGGAAAAATAAGACACATCGCTAAAATTATTCAAAAACTCTGTATAAACATACTCAATTAAATTAATAATTTACATTTCATTTCAAACCAAGATCTTATATAGTAATAATTACTGTAATATAAAAAAATTATTAATAAGATTATTACAATTCGTGACATAATGACAGAGATTTGAGACATCGATGAAAGCGACGCGAAATCAAATTATTGAAATAAACTTCGTAAATTATAATTCGATAATTAATTCATAATTGTTATTTTTCAAGATGCGAAAACAGCGCAATTTGACGGAAACTTTTATCGAAATATTTATCCAGAAAATTAGACTCGTGATAAGATGTATATTATTAAAACTCGTGATAACAACAAATCTGAAACAATATACAGGGAATCAAAATTTCGAAAAGCTATTAAAAAATCGAAAAAAATTATTTTTCGAATTTTCGAAAATGTTTCGAAAAAAGAACTAAATTCTTTATCGAATGTTGTCCACTCAATTATATATCATAGTTTATTTGTTTATTATGTTTCCTATACCTGAATTTCTAGTTCAGTTCAAATTAAGTTGCACTTCGCACGGAACAATCGTGACAGACGGGGATAACGGAGATTTTACAGAGTGTTTTTGTGCGTCCATTTCAAAAACGGAGTTGGAAAATTAAATTTCGCAAAATGGATTCTATTCCTGGAGGTACGTGTAATAGAAAACGATGCTAGCAATATTTTTTGTATTATACTATATACGTATATATACAGGGTGTTTGGCGACTACCGCATTTTTTGTCATACGTGGGTAGAACAGCCTATACTGAATCAAAAAG